CCCAGGTGGACTTGTTGTGGCTGCCAATGTTGCCTGGTTGTCTCTGATTCATGGTACCTTTGCATGCAACAGCCTGGGCCGTCTTCATGTTCACTGGCATGTTTGAGTCCACTGTTGTGTCAATCTGTCTCATTGACGGTCTCTCTCATTTTTATTGGCCTTCCACTTTACCAAACAGCAACTGGAGATTGATTTGCTAGCCTTGAATTCTGCGGTCATGTTCCTGCAGGCAGGCAACTTCATCTGGACCTTACCTTTATCTTTTCTACAAAGGGAAACAATGTAGAGAGATATTACTTATTAGTCTGATTGCATGATTTTTCAGATGGGATGTCTCCACTGGGATCATCCAGCTGGCTGGCTGATGATGGAGCTAGAGTTATGTCTTCTTTCCTGTGCTTTAGTGCTTTCTTTCTAGCACACTCCCAACTTTAAATGTTTTAAATCCTAACCCATTTTTAACAGTTTTATTGACACTTCTTCCACATGTCATACAATTTAATAGCTCAATCAAATCAAGAAGAGTTGTACAATCATTACCACAATCAATTTTAGAACATTTTCTTCTTCCTTGTGCTCATTATTATTAGTGTAATTATTATATTTTTAAACTGCCAAACCTATTTTTTGCTTATCTATTTGGGTTGCAGAAACCCTGAAAGGAGACAGCATCACACAGTGAAAAAAAATGCATGAGCTTTGAAACCAGCGAGATCTAGGTTTGGATCTAGGCCTCTCTTCAGGTCTGCGCCCTTCAAGTAGTTACGTACTTCTCAGCCTCAATTCTATCATCTGTAAGAAAAGAACAAAAATATCCGCCTAAAAGGTTGCTGAACAGGTGAAGGGCCGCCAAGTTCACAAAGCATCAAAGTTATAGTGAGATAAACATTCCATCTTACAGCCCACGTCTCTCTCCCTCTTAACTGTTTGGAAGGGAGGAAACTACAGCTCAGGCATTTGTGAACAGGGTAAGGATCTGGTATGCGGTATGTAATGACTTACCATATGCACTGGAGTATAAGCCGACCCGAATATCAGCCGAGGCACCTAATTTCACCACAAAAACGGCATTAAAAATGTGCTGCAAAACTCAACTTATACACGAATGTATACAGTACCTCCTTTTCTATGTAGTTTATTTAGGAACACTTTTTTAGTTCAATCCCTCTTGTTGAATATTTTTTCAAAGTATAGTCTATGCTCCTCCTTTGGAAAGCACAACACTCTGAATATAATTTAATTTTTTAAATTTAATCATTTTATTGGGGCGCATACAACTCTTATCACAATCCATACTATATATTTTTTGGCTTCTTGTGTTTTTTTAAAATCATTTTATTATGGGCTCATACAACTCTTATCACAATCCATACATACATCAATTGTGTAAAGCACATTTGT